GCAAGTTCAAGCCTTCGGTAATGTAGCATGTGCCGTTTCCATGAACCATCCTTCCTGTAATGTCGATCTCTAACAGAGAAATCGGTTGAAAATTTACCGTAAATCTGCATCGGCGTTCCGTCTGCAGTTTTGACTGGCATGGCACACGTTTCCGAAACAGGGGCTCCCATCGTTTTTCAAGCTCTACGCGATATCAGGGTTAAGTCCGCGCCTGTATCCAACTGGAGTTTGAGAGAGCATCTTTTGATTACGACGTCGAGATAAGTCCTCGCACTCTCGGCGTCGAAAGCGACCATATTCTTGCACTGTCTTTTGCGACCAAAGTCTTTTGCACTTGTCCTCCGTCGCTTCTTCCGACCAGTGCTGCCAGATTGAGGAGATTCTCGTCTGAAATGTGGCCCTCCGCATTTGAAGTAATTTACCTTTTTCTTCCACACAGCATGGATGTCTCGCGTGCCTTCCATGTCTGTATTATCCATTTTCAGGGCAGTGAAATTTTCAAATTCCGCGACTAGGTCCTCGATTGTCAGCGGTGCTTCGTCCGTGTGAGCGTCCAGTCGACGAATCATCCGAAGGCGAACTTCCCTATGTGAGGGATCTGGAAGACCTGCTACGAATTGCAGCGTCTTCATCGCCGTGTAGTCGACCTCCTTAAGCCGGGCATCCTCGTCCATCCGCTTGATAGTGTTGGCGTACTCGCGAAACGGTACGTACGCTGATGTAAGCGGCGGGCAGGTTATTTTTAGGCACTCATACCGTCTTCTGATGAGCGTCTTCTTGGAGGCGAACAGCTTCTGGAGATTCGCGACGGTGGTGTCGAAGTCCAAGTCGCTCGGTTGTGCAGGCAAAACCTCATCTGCATACTTCCGGTATGCTTCTTCATCCAGCTTCATGAGGATCAAGTCGCGCTTCTTCTGATCCGGAAGCTGGGAGTCGCGTATGACCATTTATGACCGGTCCGTACCTGTCGTACCAGTACGCAAAGGTGTTACCTGTCTCTTCGTCTGAGACGAATCTTTGCACGTCCTTGCTCAGTTGATCGTACTGATCCTTGCTGGCATCTTGGACGGCCCCCTGATTACTGGCCAGGGTCAAGATCAGCGTCCTCATTTGCTCTTGCTGAGCTTGCAGCTGCATCTGCACTTGTTCCTGCTGGGCTTGTATCTGGATCCGCACTTCTTCTTGTTGAAGTAGCATCTGCTCCATCATGACGTTAAAGACCTTCTCCAGATCTGCATACCGTTCTTCTGCGACCTTCGGCATGGCTCCGCAGCTACAACGAGATTTCTTCCCTCTCGTCGATCGATTTCTCAAATAGAACTTACCTGGAGAAGTTGTCCTTGAAGTTGATTGCAGGCTTCTTCTTCTCCTTGGTCGGCGATGGAGCTTCTTCTCGTCCTCGGTTGGTGGTGGAGCTCTTCTTGTCCTTGATCCTGATCGCCAGTTGCTGTGGAACGCGTTGAGTTGTTGACGATTTATTAGAAAAACACAAGAGTTCCCCCTCTGCCTATCGGCGTACATGCCGAGGGTTCACTAGGAATAAGTAGAGAACAACACACACAAATATATCAAAGTGCGGCGGGTACGCCGCAACCACAGAGACCATATAGACCTAGCCTATAGTGAGCGAGCAGGTTCCAATATAAGGGACGGCTCTACAACATTTTGAAACTTCGACTTTCTAGCTTTGACTGCGAATATGATCGAATGTTTTATTTTTGAATAATGGAATTTTTATTCAATTTGCACCAAAGTATAACGTACAGGTGACTAATACCGCTTAGATGCAGTCAAGCTTTTGCTAGCGCGAAAATCACAAAAAACCAATATGAGATGAGGCAGTTTTTGTGCTTGTTTGATTAAAAAGATTTACTTTATAAAAAACTGACTTCATGCAGGTTTTTGGAACGCTGTTATGTGGATTCGGAGTGAGTAAAAATTTTGTATAGCATACTTATAGCAAGCAAGCCACGGTGCTCGGCTCTCATGCGCTTGCGTTAGGCTCCCGCCAGAGTGCCGAAGTTATGCCAGCGCTACGCCAGCATTTCGATCGATACACGTGTATTTCGTTGGGGACATCTACCTGCTGAGCTAGCCCCGCCCCAACGAAATACACGTGTATCGATCGAAATGCTGGCGTAGCGCTGGCATAACTTCGGCACTCTGGCGGGAGCCTTAGAGGACTTATTGTCAGAAAATGCGCAGTCGTGCAAACTCACGTTATCAGGCAAAAAAACAGTCTTTCTCAGACACCAAGAGGTTATCTAGCTTCATAGCCAGAACACAATCCTAAACAACCAAACAACAGGAGCAAATCTTTCGCCGTTTTTACCCGTCAGTAGAATGTTCGAACAAAAATCGACAAATATTTTGCTCTACATTGGAGACCCTTCTCTTTTAAGCGATTGAAACTGATCTTTGAGTTTGGCGACTACTCCAATATTTACTGGATGTCATAATTCAAATTTATCTTGCCTAAATTTAGTATCACTTATTGCAATGATCTTGAATCGTTATTCTAATTTTGAGAGTACAATACCGCTCATAATTCGTCAAAAAAGTCGCCGGACTCCGGCGCACTCTGCCACACTCCGGTGCACTGCGGCGGAGTGTGGCGAAGTGCGCCGCAGTCCGGCGACTTATTTGACGAATTATGAGCGGTATTGTAGTTGCAAAGCAAGCAGATAGAGTGTACCTTAATAGTGATGTTTATTCGGATACCTTTGATTGCTTTTTGTAACTTTTCAAAATGATTTCAAAAAGGCAAAATTTATCGGCGATCTAGACGCAGATCACAATGGGCTGCTGACCAGTCCAAATGCCTGTCAATGAAACAAGTACCCCTGCTGCGCTCATATTGTCTATCATTATTCTGTGTGACAGGCATGAACATCGGGACCTTCTGAGGTTAAGAGTAATACACAAGGTGAATGACAAATCTTTTATTAAATTTCAGACGTGCCAACAAGTTCTTAATCAGTAGCACAACCTCGAGCGAAACCACCCACGGAGCGGCATGTGTCTGATGCAGCTTTTCTTTATTATTTCGAGATCTTGGCAATGTCATTGAAATGTTTGGAGGATATACTAAGGTTATCACCGCAAACAAACAACAAGGTAAAACAGCATTTTTCAACGACATCTGTATCGGCTTCTGGAAAGGATCAGATGGCCTAGAAATGGACTTGGGTAGTCACATCCATAATTCCAGATTCACTAACCTTAAATTCTTGTGATTTGAAAATTGATTTCTCGATGTCGAAATTTTACTTTATGTGGTTGTTATCTCATCTTTAGTTATAGCAAGGAATCTGAAGGAGTTAACAAAGCTACGTGCCAAAACATTAGGTAAAAGCTGTGGCTCTTCTACAGCCGATTTGTGCTGTTGGAACTTTTGAACTGTGCTGAGAGCATTTTTATTAGGCATGTGTTCACTGCGAGCCCATTTTGCGAGCGGAAATGAATTTCTATTTTTAAGTCGTTACTCTTATCTAGAACTCATCGCTCAACCATATACAGGGTGTCCCAAAAAAATGTTTAGAACGTTTGATCGTTAATATCTCTCTTCCCAAGAAGTCTTTTGCCTTGCTTCAGGTACCGTTTTGTAGAGCTGGCTTCAGCTTAGATTTCCATTATAGAACGAATCACCCATCTCTCTTCATTACTGTAGGGTTACGGTAGAAACTTCAAAGAGGGTTTTGAACAATGAAAGGCCATATTTTGCCTCAGAAAGGAAACAAAACAGCCTGAAAACTTTTACACCAGGCTAATTAGAATTGCTGATTAAAACTGTAAAGTTCCCAACTTATTATAATGCTTCATTGAAGAGTTATGCCAGGTGAGAGGTAGCGGCCTTTTTTTCAATGTTCCTAAAAAGTGCGATTACACCGTTTAGAAAGCTTCGTAATCGTGTGAATAGTTGAGTATTGAACTCAGCGTCTATAAAAACCCTATTACACAAGTTTTCACAATTTTTTGAAAAATTTTGAAACGGCAGCTTTTTCCACATTGACACCATATGTTTCAAGTTTCTACCGTAATCCTACAGTAATGAAGAGAGATGGGTGATTCGTTTTATAGTGCAAATCTAACAAGGGAATGGTCAGAAGTCGAAGTGGCCAATCCATACAAGCTGCATACCATTCGATGCAGCATAGAATGCTGATTTCAAATCTGTCTTCTATATCTGCAGAGCGCCTTTGTAGACGAAGGTATGAGCAGCTTTACCGCGAAAAAACCGTATACAAAATTTGCGAAATTAGGCACATTATTGCTCTTTCAGCTCACCTCTAGGTACGATTCACATGAAGTGACCCAGTTGCATGTATTGGTCCCACACTGAGACGAGAATGGCTTAGTATAGTCAAGTTTACACTTTACACGCACAATTTTCTTAGCAAAATTATGGCCTTCAGTGGCTTATATTTTCGTCCACAGTAGCGCTCTGCAGATAAGGAAGATATATTTAGAGTCAGCGTTTTATGCTGCATCTAATGGTATGCAGCTTGTATGGATTGGCCACTTCGACTTCTGACCATTCCCTTGTAAGTTGAAGCCAGCTCTACAAAACGGTACCTAAAGCAAGGCAAAAGACTTCTTGGGAAAAGAAATATTAACGATCAAACGTTCTAAACATTTTTTTGGGACACCCTGTATAGTCGGCTTCCAGATTCGTGTGGAGGCGGATTGCGGACTTCCCTGATTTTCAAGATAAACTTGTTGAACCTCCACGTTATAGCATTGTCTTTCGTGATCTCTCGTCAAGCTTATCCTTAAAATCAAGGAAGTCCGCAACCCGCCTCCACACCAATGTGGGAGCCGATCATATGTAAAGTAATATGTGTGATAAGTATTGATATCCAACACGTGCCAAGTTTGCTGGAGCTACATTCTACTATATTATTACTGGCTATCAGAATACTTTTTGGAACATGTTTATTCCAAAATGTGCATGTTAGCGGTAATGATATCTCACTACTTTTGACTTTTGTTGGAATTTTCTAAGGATCCTCCAAAGAAGTCGAGAGACCGAGGCCTCCTTTTTCGTCTTCGGTAGCTAGACCCGGTCCGGACTTATTCGATCCAAACGAATCAGTTTCTGGTCCATCTGGTCCACTTTTCGCGGTAGGCGGAGGTCCGCCTGCTCCTTTTTCGTGGGAAGGTGAATCGCCAAGTGAGCTCTGTTTGCTTGTTTCTCCCACATCGGTGGGACCGGCAGGTGGGCCAACTTCTCCTTCCTCGGGGGAAGCGAGTGGCGGTGAATCTCCGGCAGGTGGGCCGCTAAGAACTTCTTCTCCCTGGGGGGGAGCGGATGGGGGTAAATCTCCGGGTGGGCCGCGAACTTCTTCTCTGTTGGGGGAAACGGGTGGAGGTGAATCTCCTTCTGCGGTAGACGCGGAAACCCGCCTTCGTTTCCCCCCAGTCTGCTGCTCCTTTCGGTTGAGTTTCTGCGGAGTACACTTTTGCTTCTTGTTTTCTATCCAGGGCTCAATCTTGGCGGCACAAGTGACTTTAGTCCCATGCGAGAAGCAATTAAAGAAAAAATATATAGTTCCTTTTCGCTTTCCGTGCTGAAATGAAATGAATTTTTTCTGTCCATTAAGCTAGATTACAGCACTCGAATCTGGTGAATTTTTGCGCAAAAGTTCCTTGCAACATAGACTTTTGAACAGATTGAAATATTAACTTCGACGCCTATACTAGAATGATTGAGCGTGCCACTATACTATATAGACTATAGGTGATTCGAACGCTTAAAGGCAGCCTACAGCCGTTTAGCCTAAGTTGGAGGTCTTGAGCTTCTGGCATCCTACAATACTAGGACCCCTCTATAAATCCGATGCCCAAGTCGCGGCTCAAACTGTCACTTCGGAAGCGAGAAAACCGCTTCGGAATAGAGAAGAAACATGAGGACCCCAAGTCGGCACCGCCCCCTCCGGTAACGCTTGCCCATCCGTGCGCGCCCATCCAATCACCGTTCCGGGAACGGGCTCGCAGGTTCTCCAGAACGAGGGTTGTCGGGATTTTTGCGAATTCTCGACTTCATGTTCGGAATCAAGGACATGAGAAGGCCCCGCAGCGACCAAAACATGGAAGTCGAGAATCTGAGTGGACGGTGCCTTTAAGATTGTTTAAAGCTGGCTGCGGAGACGAGCACTGTTTCAGCCGTCGTCGCATAGTCCGTGCGGTTCATGAATTACTCATGCATAGGCGAGCTTTTACTCATGTCCAAACTGTGCTCGCTGAGGCGGAAGGGTACAATGACTTGTAAGGAAATATATCAGAACTGTTTCCTACTTACCGCAGCCTTCAACTTTTCTTTGATGATCTCGACCATTTGAGTTTTTCGATGTCTGTATAATGGTACAAAATCATCGAAAAGGTTTTTTTGAGAACTTACCGATATTCGGTTGTGTAATACACGAAACCACACTTTTCCGGAATTTTCACACCATTACCCACAGCGCAGGCGACACGCATTAACGGAATTGAAGGAGTCTAAAGCAAAGTTTCTTTTGAGTTGAGTATTGATCTTAGCGATTTCCTGGTGTCAAAATTGAAAAATCAAGGCTCTGCAATATTGGCTTCACATGAATTCCGCTCCTGCTTACTTATTTGTAAACGATTTAAAAGTCTGTTGTTCGATGTTTTCATCGCATATATCTTTCTCCGAATGGAATGGCAGCTAATCAAGTCAATTCTTGCGTTTTTGTATAAACTTAGAGGCAGCGGCTCGGCAGAATGACAACTTTGGGATATTCATCATTTTCGGTTCTTCTGGATAAGCTAAGTCCAAGACTGTGCTTTGCAGTTTCAAAAGATATCAATAACCCGGTTTTCCAGAAGTGAAAAGCGCTATTCCAGGGCGGACCGCGTATCCGCCCTCTAGAGCGCGATTGGCTCGTGGGTACGGTGGCTACAGTATCTCCACTCACGAGCCCATCGCGCTCTGGAGGGCAGATACGCGGTCCGCCCTCAAATAGCGCTTTTCACGTCTGGAAAAGCGGGTTATTGATATCTTTTGAAGCTGCAAAGCACAGTCTTGGAGCATAGTCCCGATCCAGGAGCCGAGAACGGTGAATATCCCAAAGTTGTAAATTCTGCCGAGCCGCTGCCTTTAAGTTATAACATCGAAATACATCAGACCAACCATGTTTAGGCCATTATAGAAATGTTCTTGAAGTTGTTGTGCGTGTGATCTTGCTGTATCAAATTGGCCAAACGTGACATCACATGGATAAGTATGAAGGTTGTACGTGTATTCTTCATTAAAACAAATATGTTCATTCTTTTCAGATTTTTGCGAGAGCGCCGTCTCTATCTGCACCTAAACAAAAACGTATCTCAAAGCGTACAATTCAAATTTTTCAGACTTACAAGGATTAAGAGAATGTAGAGGCGCATCGGCTTGTCTGCTTCTTGTGTGCTCACGAGCCTTTTATACAATTTGATGAACGCTTGCGTGAACTGCCTGATTGTATCGTACTAAATTTAGTCTTTTAATTGATTTAGACCGAGCGCACTTCGACTATTACCACAGTGTTTTTATTGTAAACTTTCAGTGAACTTTGTAAATGCTTTTGAAGGAAACTCAGCATCTACAGACCTATTGTATGCAAAGACAATGTGTTACTGCGGACGTCTTTCAGGTCAAGCGCACTTTCTTGCTTCTCATTCTGCTCTCCCTCTATTGAGCCCGAATTCAAGCGGTGTTGCTTAACTCGGCAATTTTATTTTTTGAGTCTGAGCCAAAATGACAAGATATGGAGCTGTGTAATCTTTTACTTTCTTATAGTTAATCGAACGCTGATCTAATCTTTATGATCTCTACATGCTTCTCAGCTGGGGCGCCCCAAATAAGAAAAGTAGCAATAATCATGATTTGCAGCTAAAAATGGCTAAAAAATACGATATGCTTTTGGTGGCAAATTGCAGTGAGAAAAATTGAACTAACCCATGTATAAAAATATCAGGTTGTCTCATAAGTTTTTTCAAATTTGATTTCTGACTGCACTAACATGTCTTCTCAATTCTAATGGAGAAGCAGGGTATCATTCGATTGATCAAAGCAAGCTCTATAATATGGTATATAAAGTACGCACCAGCTTTAGTACACCTCGAGCTAGAAGCCAAAATCTTATGAGTTTTGAATGCTCAAAAATTTGAAAAATTCATATTTCTGTTAAAAAGGAACTTATATGATTTCCCACTAGCTCACGCATATACACTTCACATTGAACATTCATATATGCCTTTGCTGCATTTTTTTCTAAGCTAAAGACCGAAAAAAACGAGAATTTTTATATTTTGAAAAAGCGATACTGTGCTGTTTCCAAACGAGTAAACGTACACTGCAAGCCTTTGGGAGTATAACCGTGTGATTTCGGCTTACCGCAAGCGCTAGTTTTCGAGAAATAACAGGTTTAGCTTTTGTTGCTTGGGTCGTTGATTCTAAAATTATTTTATTCTCGGAAACTAGAGCTTTTAGAAAGCTAAAGATTTGCGACTATACTTCTTAAATTTGTAGTAGTATACATGTACTTATGTGGAAACAGCGCAGCGTCGCTTTTTCAGAAACATGAAAATTTCCTTTCCCTCAATTTATTAGCTTACAAGGGAATGGTCAGAAATCGAAGGGGCCAATCCAAAGAAGCTGCATACCATTAGATGCAGCATGAAGCGGTGACTCTAAATCTGTTTTCCTTACCTGCTTATCGCTTTTCTGGACGAAGCTATAAGCCATTAAAAGCCATTATTTGGCTAAGAAATTATGCGTGAAATTGAAAATTTAGCCGTACAGAGCCGCGTTCGCCTTAATGCTGGGCCAGAACATGCAGCTAGCTTACCTCAAATTTTTAAAGCGAGAAGCTGAGCTAAAAGTGCAACAATGTGCTCAATTTCGCTGTTTTCATGTATGATTTTTTCACAATAAAACCGCTTGTAGCTTCGTCCACAGGAGCGATAAGCAGATAATGAAGACTGATTCGAAGTCAGCATTTTATACTGCATCGAATGATATACAGCTTGTTCGGTTTGGCCACTTCGACTTCTGACCATTCCCTTGTTAGGAAAAATATACAGCAAAGGCATATATGGATGTCTGATGGAGCGTATACGCGTAAGCTGGGGACTCCTATAAGTTCCTTTTGAACAAAGATACAAATTTTACTTCAATTTTTTGAACATCCAGAAACTTTTTTCAAATTTTGGCTTCTAACTTAAGGTGTACTAGGCTGCGTACGCTTACATGTCATCTTAGAGAGGGTGTACTAGGCTGCGTACGCTTACATGTCATCTTAGAGCTTGCTTTGCTTTATCAAATGGTTCCCTGATTCTTAGTAAGTACTGAAAAATGACGTATTGCGGTCAAAAAGTCAAAATTGAAAAACTTATGAGGCAACCTAACATTATTTCCCTCTCATCTTCTTGACTTGGCTACAAATTTTAAATTGCAAAGGTTCTCTTTTTGCTGATAAATTAATTCGCAATCTTAGGTTTAAAATTTGATTTTCCTGATCGTCCTTCGCAGTGAAATTTATGCATTAGTATGGGATAATGAGTAGAGAATATAGTTTACTCAGGCTCTTTTCTGCCTCCTTTCATGACTTTTCCTACCAATGACTTCTCTCAAGTTGACGACTTTCAGTTACAGACAAAGGCAGAATCATGAGCTTGCTGAAACGAGTCATATGGCGTTTCAATCTACCGTACCCGCTTGTTAAGGTACGTTACACAAAGTCTTGTGCCAGCTTGACATCATCAGTTTTTTTGGGCATGTCAGAGCAAAATACTGACATACTTTACAGAGCAGTTTTTCGAAATAATTATTCGATGCTACATAGCTCTTGATCATGTTTTAGTAATAGTGCGCATGCTTTACTCTTAGGGCCGCATGCACTAACCTCCCCGCTGGGGAGGGGATCGCAGCTTAAAAGAAAGCTTTATATTTCGAAACTCCAGATACCTGGATTTCAAATTGTGTACCTATCCTAGGTATTCCTACTACCCTTCACTACGAACATGTTGAAGAGGAGCGAGAAGCTGTACGAACCGCATTTTCCAGCTTTTGTATGATCCCTGATGATCCCCGGCGCTTTTCTTTAAAGTCATTTTTCTTTCTCCGAAGTTAACGAAAACCTTCCAAAGCTGTACTGAACATTTAACACAACAGTGCTAAGCATGTTGCTGATGAGAACAAATGAGTTTTTGAAAAGTCGAATTTTCCGGTAAACCTCAAATTTCGACCTGTGGATCATCGAAAATTTCATGACTTCAAAACATCATTTGTTCTTATCACGAACATGCTTAGCACTGTCGGTTTGGATAATCTGCACAATTTTGGAGGTTTTTCTTTAACTTCGGAGAAAAAGAAATGACTTTAAAGAAAAGCGCCGGGGATCATCAGGGATCATACAAAAGCTGGAAAATGCGGTTTGTACAGCTTCTCGCTCCTCTTCAACATGTTCCTAGTGAAGGTAGTAGGAATACTTACGGATAGGTACACAATGTGAAATCCAGGTATCTGGAGTTTCGAAATATAAAGCTTTCTTTTAAGCTGCGATCCCCTCCACGCGGGGATGTTAGTGCATGCGGCCCTTACACCCATATCCCTGACCCTCAGTGGCGTACCCTGGATTTCCGCTCTGGAAGGGGAGTAACTTACAAAAATTTCGCGACACATTCTGGGGGAGGGGATGTCCTCCCCTCGGTACGGCACTGCCAGGGAATACTAACTTAGAGCCGCATGCATTAACATCCACGCTATGGAGGAGCTCGCTGCTTGAAAAAAAAGCTCTAAATCCTGAAGTTCCAGACATCTAATTTTCACGCTGTCCATCCATCCGTAACAGCTGCTATCCTTCACTAAAAACATATGAACAGGAGCGGGAAGCTGCACAAGCCGCATTTCCATTTTTTTGTATGAACCCTTGATGATTTCTGACAGCCGACCGTATTTTTCAGTTTTCATGAGTTCGATATGTCATTTGTTCTTGTCAGGAACATTGTTTGGTTAGATAAACAGTGAAACTAGCACGTTTTTGTTGAGTGAAAAAAGGAATTGACTTTGAAGAAAAGACGGTCGGCCGTCAGGAATCACCAGAGGATCATGCAAAAGCTGGAAAATGCGGGTTTCACAGCTTCTCACTTCTGTTCATTATGTTCATAGTAGAGTATGGTAGGAATACTTATGGATAGGCAAATAGTTGCTAATGCATGCGGCCCCCTAAGGTGGCAATGAGAGCGCTAAAAGCGTCTTGATGAGTTCTTTCCAAATTTAGCTCTTTGGAAGGAAAGCTTATGAGTGGTCAAACTTAGGGATAGAGCTCGGCATAGGTGGCTTGTAAGCAAGCTGCATATCTTTTTGAGACAGTAAGCTAAGGGGTATCGTTTTTGAGGCCGAAAAGACAAAAAATTGCGAAGTTTTCTTGAGTCGGCGTTTCGTTTTTTGGCGGTTTTTCTAGACATTAGGGTTCAGGGTCAAAGGGGACTTCGTAAACATTTGCGAAAGCCAAGGAAGACTTCGTTTTTTGCATTTTCCAGCAGCCATCTCGTGCCGAGCCGTGCTTAGGGGTTAGAAGCGTGAAGTCATTGGGATTTTAGCGCTTAGTATGTTCGAAGTCCAGTTTGGGAGTACATGACTAGCATGAAGTAATTGTAATAATTCCAAGTAATGCTCACGTTTATCGGAAATGCAGATAAGCTTTTGAACAAGCAATTCTTGAAGGTTTGTGGATGCTAAATGTTGGCCAAATTTGGACTTTTGAGCGTTCACAACTTTTTTTATAGAGAAAGCAATGCCATACGAAAGATATGGAATCAGTTTATCAAAACGATTCTAGAGGTAAGTGGATCCATTAGTAATCCCATGTTGAGTATATGCCGATTTCGCACTGAGAAATGCTCACAATTCGCTTCAAAATAGTGCGTTACAGTTAATAAGGATATTGAAATCAGCGTTTCCAACTAATTCTAACGGTATATGTCTCTTTTTGAAGGCATTGTCTAATTCATGTCTTTTCCTCACGAGGATATAACATTTTGTCAAGAGTGTTGAGCATAGGTGCGAAAGGGAAAGCCGGGCTCTCCCCAGGTGAAGGGGGTCTCGGCTGTTTCCGACCTTCCAGGTGAAGGGGGTATGTGAGCCTGGGGGGGGGGGGGAGGGGGGAGGGGAAGGGAGAGAGAAAAGGTAAAAAAGTGTGGTATGAAGTGCTCTAATTTGTACCTTATTTAGGTACAAATTAAAAATTTTTTTTCTAGAATTTAAAAAAATAATATCAGGTTGAACCGGAAGTTCTCTCGCACCAAATTCAAAATTCACAATTTCTGAATTTTCTAACCGATTGGACCGCTCTTATTTTAATATGAAAGAGTAGGTCATGCTCTTTATAAAGACCATCAATTGCTTACTAATGATCATCTATTGCACAGATAGGAGCGGTAGAATAAAATTGGTCAAAAATTGAATTTTCTGTGTAGGGTCATAAAAAATCGGAAACTTGCAACAAAAATCGGAGCAATCGGTATTGTAGGTTTTTTCACCAGCTCTTTCTAACTGTGCAAAGTTTGCGCCGATTGAACGTCTCTATGAAAAGTTACG